AGGGGAAAATATGTTTATCCAAGCAACTGACAATTTGCTGCTTTTTAATAGTTTCCAAAAATCAGCTGCTGCCTTACAATCTGTCTGTGTTGGCTTGGCCCAGTGTGAACGTATGTTGGGTGGGACCAGGCCTCAGGCTGTCCTTCACTTGCAGCAGCAACTGGGAAGGCAGCCTGTGGAGCAGAAGATGAGATGGGAAATTACCACCCTCATGTTTCCAACCTTAGTCTTCTTTTCTCAGCTGCCACCATTGTCAATTTGATTCTGTGAGGGGTGACCAGCCCTGAGGAGCTAGGCCTCCCCTCACCCCTCACAAATATATTGATACAAAGAATAAGGGAAGACTTGAGACTGCTTAGTCAATAGGCTGCTTAGCAGCCTGATTTCTTAGTCAAACACAGCTGGCATCTTCCATGGGCCCTTTTATTTCTTAAATACGTGACAACGCTTTTTGCTATCATTGCAATAGGCAGGATTCCAGTCTGGCTCAGAGGCAGTTTACTCAGATGCGGGCCGGGTTTATTTGAAGTTGGCTCAGAACCATTTTATCATTTGTTTGATGGGCAAGCACTTCTTCACAAGTTTGACTTCAAGGAGGGGCATGTCACTTATCACAGGAGGTAAGCATCTTCATTTTTCCTACTTGGCATTCCCCACCGATAGCAAGCCCAAGGCTTGTCCAAATCAAACTGACTTTTAAAAACATTCTGTTCCAGAGCTAAGAATGCATTTTGGCTATATTTTAAGTTCTATGAAATGGGGATCGGCGATCTGCCTCACAGGCTTTCTGGACAATAACGTTAAGGATTGCATAGCATGGTGAACATTGAAATGTCAGGGGTTAATAATATCCAGAGTTCAGGCAACGAGGGCGCTTAGGGTTGGCTTACTCCGTCCTGCACATAGCTCCCCACCTCCACCCCAGCCTTTTCTAGAACTTGTTCCATGCCTCTTCTACTTCCATCCTTATTCACACATTGCCGGTAACAGCACGGGGACTCCACTCTGGTGGCTACTCCTTTGTCGCTTCTTGACAATGTCTGTAACTTCCATCCATATAGTTAGGGTCGTTTGAGCAGATATGTGACATACCACTTAGGGCCTGTTCTACAGTTACTCTCAGCAACCCAGAAATCCAAGATGCTATGACAAGAGCTGATTCCCATGCCTATGCCATCCCCCCTGGGGCATGGGAAGCGCGCTCGTCCTAGGTGACCTGAGGATTCCAACATACCAAACCAAAACAACCTTTCTTCTTCTATAGGTTTATCCGGACCGATGCCTATGTAAGGGCAATGACTGAGAAAAGAGTCGTGATTACAGAATTTGGCACCTATGCTTACCCAGATCCATGCAAGAATATATTTTCCAGGTGACAAAACAAAGGCATATTGTAGGGGATGAAGCCGTGTTCTTTTTTTCCCCACCAGAAGAAATAATCTAGTGTCCTTGTTGGTTCTGTTTGGCAGGTTTTTTTCATACTTCCAAGGTGTGGAGGTCACCGACAATGCCCTGGTGAATGTGTACCCGTGGGTGAAGATTTTTATGCCTGTACCGAGACAAACTTCATAACAAAAATTAACCCAGAGAATTTGGAAACAATTAAAAAGGTAAAAAAAAGAGAGAGAGATACATATGGATAGATAGATGATAGATAGATAGATAGATAGATAGATAGATGATAGATAGATAGATAGATAGATAGATAGATAGATAGATAGATAGATGATAGATAGATAGATAGATAGATAGATAGATAGATAGATAGATAGATGATAGATAGATAGATAGATAGATAGATGATAGATAGTTAGAAGGCAGAGGTTGAGGAGAAATGCAAAAAGGAAAAGGAAAAAATGCTTTTGGTGACGCACAGTCTGCACCTGCAACACAATATCTGATTAGAGAACTGTCTGGCTGTATATGAGGTCTGTGGCAGACTTCATACATGCCAGACCTCTCTCCCCATTAGAATCTAGTCCAGACATTGGAATACTTCAATAAATATTTTGCAAAGTCTGTGCTCTCAGAATGCACTAGTAAATATCATGCAAACACGGACATTTTTGGTATTTATGCCAGAGCCAAATGACATTCCAATGACATTCTGCTGGTTACTACCACTTGTGGGGCATTCATAACTGGATTTATGACATCGTAAAGTGGCCGTGTTAGCTTTATAGATGTCGTGCTTCAGCAAGAGCTATAAAGAGACCAGTAGTTTTACAGAATTTGCTATAAATATATCACAGCTGGTACGAGCAGGCAGACCTTCTTATAGGTGGTACCAGAGGACAGGACAATGCCATCATTAAGAGATTAGAGTCGGGTTGTTTGTCATTGCAAGAGAGTTTTTGTGCATGAAAAAACTGCATAAATAGTTATGTCTTAGCAGCAGCGTGTTTATCAAAATTAGCTGCAAGGACATGTTGCAATGTCAATGTAAAACATACATTTATGGCAAAATAACATTGCATCATAACTTCGTATATTTCCAAGTATGTAGAACTTTTTTCTACAGTGATTGCCTCTGTTTAGGAAATTCTGTGGGGCTGAAATCTAGCAGAAGGTGTCCTCCGGCTGGAGGAAGGGGAAACTTTTTCAGGTGACTACTCAACCTTTTCAGGGAACTGTGCAGAGAGGAATTGGCGAGGGCTGGGGAAGAACAGTCTTTTCCCCCTTCCTGTAGCAGGGATGTCCTGTGAGTGGAACTCTGCTTATAGGAACTCTGGATCCAGCCCAATGTGTGTAGGGGCTACTACAGTATTCAAAATCATTCTGTGAATAATCAAGGACTCAAGACACAGGCACAAAGTGGATTTGGAGGAGTCATCTTACCTTCTCATCTTATTTGCAGTTGGTACAAACCTTGATTTTCCAACAGGCCCATCCAGTCCCAGTTGAAGGGGGATTATATTACCAAGTCAGGGGAACTGGACAATATCAAAACTCTTTTAAACTGTCATATTCCTTGTTTATCAGTTTGAATCCCCCCCGGCAAATGGTTTCTTTTTAAATGTTTTGTATCTAAAGTAATAATAATAATAATTTTATTATTTAGACCCCACCAATTTGTCTGGCTTTCCCCAGCCACTCTGGGCAGCTCACAGCATATATCAGAACATACTAAAACAACAAACATTAAAAAGTTCTTGATACAGTGCTGCCTTCAGACGTCTTCTAAAAGTTAGTTGTTTATTTCCTTGACATCTGATGGGAGGGCGTTCCACAGGGCGGGCACCACTACCGAGAAGGCCCTCTGCCTGGTTCCCTGCAACCTCACTTCTCGCAGTGAGGAAATGGCCAGAAGGCCCTCGGCACTGGACCTCAGCGTCCAGGCTGAACAATGGGGATGGAGATGCTCCTTCAGGTATACAGGACCGAGGGCGTTTAGGGCTTTAAAGGTCAGCACCAACACTTTGAATTGTGCTCAGAAACGCACTGGAAGCCAATGAAGATCCTTTAGGACCGGTGTTATATGGTCCCACAGCCACTCCGAGTCACCAGTCTAGGTGCTACATTCTGGCTTAGTTGTAGTTTCTGGGTCACCTTCAAAGGTAGCTCCAGGTAGAGCGCATTGCAGTAGTCCAAGCGGGAGATAATCAGAGCATGCACCACTCTAGTGAGATAGTTTGCAGGCAGGTAGAGTCTCAGCCACAAGGTACCAGGTGGAGCTGGTACCTGCCCTGGCCACAGAATTTACCTGTGCCTCCATGGACAGCTGTCTACCATGATGACTCCCAGGCTGTGCACCTGGTCCTTCAGGGGCACAGTTACCCAATTCAGGACCAGGGAGTCCCCCACACCTGCCCACCCCGTCCCCCCAAAACAGTACTTCTGTCTTGTCAGGATTCAACCTCAATCTGTTGGCCGCCATCCATCTGTCAAGGCCAGATGAATGTATGGACCAACAAGGCATCTTTCTATTATGCTCTCCAGGTGGATATCAGCAAATATGTTTCTGTCAATGGAGTAACAGCACACCCCCACGTTGAGAATGATGGAACCGTTTACAATATGGGCAACTGCTTTGGAAAGAATTTTTCCCTTGCCTACAACGTTGTACGGATACCTCCCCTGCAAGCAGGTTTGTTCACTTCCAAAAAACATCTGCGTACTTAGAATATGACTGCATTGTTCCTTTTCCCTTATGAGTAAAATCTATCCGCTACACATAGTGCAATACTTCTCGCTTTTCCTATGATTTCTGTCGCTTTTCCTTCTCTTACACAGTACCTAAAGTGTCAGAAGCTCTCTCTCTCTCTCTCTCTCTCTCTCTCTCTCTGTGTGTGTGTGTGTGTGTGTGTGTGTGTATTTTGCAAAAAAAAGTATCAAAAGAGGTTTTTGTAATGACAAGCTCATTTTCAGAGAAGCAGTGCTTGTGTTTGAAGACAGAATGATTGAGTTGTAACTAAGTTCTACTCAGAGTTAGACCCCTTTAAACTAATGGATCTAAGTTAGGTCTGTCCGTTAGTTTCAGTGGGTCTACTCCCAAGTATGATTAATGCTGGATACCCTTTGTTTTTTCATCTACCGCACCGGTTTTCTTATTCTTGTATGGAATTCTCACTCATTGGCTTGTACAAGATCAGCAGATGAATTGTGTCTTTATATATAATATATATTCTTTTCAGATAAGAAAGATCCAATGACCAAATGTGAGGTGATTGTTCAGTTTCCTTGCAGTGACAGGTTCAAGCCATCTTATGTGCACAGGTAAATTCCACCCTCTAATATAAGCCAACAATATAAACATCATGACTAATATAAAAGGGCAATATTGTTAGCACCCAGCTCTCTCTCAAGAGACAACGGAGTGCACCTCTGGGAGTGAAGTCAAACGGGTGGAGAATCACAGCGCCTACTATGACTGCAGAGACTGGTAACGCATAACTGCTGTCTCCTGCTTTATTTTTGCTGCATTAGCAGCACCAAAGTGACCTCTGGGGCGTGAGCCTGGGCAGGGTGTATGGAAGTCCTGGGCTGCCCAAATGACAAGACCCCTCTCCCAGCTTCACTGATGTGGTCCAAAGGAAAGCAGAGCAATACATTTGGCACCAGCTTGGCAGCAGGAGTTGCCAGGAAGCATACAGGGTGCCATCCAACTGTCTTAGGGACTCAACTCTGGATTTGTGTAGGGTTTACTTCCCTGAAGATATCTCACAAGGTAATGGAGGTTTAGGATCAGAGTTTTCCTTCTCTTAAATGGGCTCCCTTCCCAGGTTGACGAGCCCCATCTGCCTCATTTCCCTCTATGGCACATGTAGCCTGGAAAGCATTGCTAGAGAGAGAATGTGATCAAGTAAAGAGAATAGCATCTTCAAAAGTTTGTACTGCCTAACTTACATATTAGGTATTTTCTGGAAGTGCAACATGGAGAGGGTTGGTATTCAGGCAGATACTCTTCAGTTTGATGTTCTAAAAGCTTTTAATTATGTCCCTGACCAATATATCATTCATATAATCAATCCAAATTTGAAAGCACACATTTCTAACAGAAAATTGTTTGCCCCGTATGTCAAAACCCTTGTCTATTATTGACAGATAAGATTGAATTAAATTAGCAATTAAAAATGGGAAGAAACAGCATGCAGCTGAATATTGCACACTTTCATGTATGCAAAATGCTGCGTCGCCTGAAATAAAACCCACAACTATCTTTCTGAACAGCTTTGGAATGACTCCAAATTACATCGTATTTGTGGAAACACCAGTGAAAATCAACTTGCTCAAGTTTCTTTCTTCCTGGAGTCTTTGGGGTGCCAACTACATGGATTGTTTTGAGTCAAATGAAAAAATGGGGGTAAGTGATGTTGCTCTGCAATTTACATGCCCCAGGGCCTAAAAGTATATTATCTAAGAGCAGAAAGCAGTAGATGCTATTTTATGGGTTCGCACAGTTCAAGTGTGATTTATTTTATTTTTTAGGTATGGATGCATGTAGCTGATAGGAAAAAGAAGAAGTACCTCAACATCAAATTCAGGACTTCACCTTTTAACCTTTTTCATCACATCAACACCTATGAAGATCACGGTTTTCTGGTTGTGGATTTATGCACATGGAAGGGGTGGGTATTGACAAGAAGGTTGCTTTCAGGTGATTCTCCAAACCGCAGTTTGGAGGATGAGGAATATTCCCTTTGCTCGCATGCTTCCTCCTCCTCTGGTGCATGTGTCTTACCAAGTTTATTTGTGGTTTAATCAAACCATAGCTTCCTGCAACACTCAAATAATGCAGCAAACTATCATTCAGAGGTTTGGAGGGTCACCTGAATACAGCCTGAGCATTGCATAGCACTCAAAAGAGCTCTGAAGAAATCCAAGCAGCATGTGTCAAATACCGAAGGATTTTGTCAGCTTTCGTTTTTAAGAGTGATAGAATATGCATGCTGGAATATATCCTAATACTTGGGAGTAATTTTGCAGAGACAAAGGGATCAGCTGAATAATCGAAGACTTTAAGCCAAAGTCTTACTGATTTTCTGGATCCTGTTTCTAGATCCTTATGGTTGCATGCTCAATTCTGCTAGTTTTTTTAAAAATGCCACCTACTTTGAAAGACTGGTTGTGCACTATATTTTATTATATGCAGCAGTTACTGTATATATTTTTTTTGTCAAACCAATTTTGTGGGCCAGAACTCTTCAGGAAATTTGATCCATCTCTTGCTTCTAGGGTGTCACAACAAAACCATGTTAGATGTCATTAACTGCTTGCTTTCAACATTTGAATGCTGATACTTTTATCCTCCTACAGGTTTGAGTTCGTTTACAATTACTTATATTTAGCCAATTTACGGGAGAACTGGGAAGAAGTCAAGAAAAATGCCCAGAAAGCTCCTCAACCTGAAGTTCGTCGATACGTCCTTCCCCTAAATATTGAAAAGGTACCTGCAATAGTGAAATAGAGTTCTAGCCTCCCTGGGGAAAGCATTCCATAAGTGGGGGCCACTACAGAAAATGCCTGTTCTCTTGTTTCCACCCTCCTAGCCTCTCATTATGGCAGAGGCAGTTTTAGGGTAGCATGACCAGTGTGTTAGCATTACCGGCAGTCCCATTTACATAGAGGTTAGGTTCCAAGGCACTGCACGCATCTGTGAAATCATGTATAATTGAAACCCATTGAAAAAGAATGCGAACACCCCATTCTGCCCCCACCCTGTCCCCATTCTGCCCTTTTAGTGTTGTTTCAGTGACGTCTTTATGAAGTTTCCTGGTCACTTCTGGGTTCAGCACAATGCACGTTTACACGGTTGCACACATATTGAACACAAATAGGGAGCCGCCTGTATATGAGAAGGCACTACAGAACAGTGCCTGTTATTATTCAGTGAATAAAGCTTGCTCCTACCTGCAAACTTTTGTCCGAAGTTGGTTTTTGGTAGCACTGTTAGTACTGTTGGAAAATGGAGCATATCCTGTAAGAAAGCATAAAAATGTTCCCTCCTCACTACTTTTTTCATTAGCTTCCCTTTTTTATCCTAGGCTGACACTGGCAAAAACTTAATCACATTGCCTAATACAACAGCTACTGCAGTTCTGCACAGTGATGAAACCATCTGGCTGGAGCCAGAAGTTATTTTTTCAGGGCCCCGTCAAGGTAAGATCATCCTCAACCAGAATAACAAAGACAGCCTAGTAAATCTCCTCCTCCCTCCCAATCTATTTTCCTTTTGTGTTGTATCTTTTTTCAGTTGTAAAACCGACAGCAGGAATTGTAGTTTTTTAAGTGATCTGTAAGCCACCCTCTGAGCATTTTTTGGCCGAAGGGCAGGATAAAAATGCTTTAAATAAATAAATGACTAAAAATGACTCACTAATTCCTGTAAATGTTCTTGTGTTTTGTTTTATAGCTTTTGAGTTTCCACAAATAAACTATGCAAAGTATTCTGGGAAACCATACACATATGCATATGGACTTGGATTGAATCACTTTGTTCCAGACAGGGTAAGTATTATGTGCTAAGATGGGTGCAAATTAAGATTCCTTAATATGGTCAGGGCCAGCACTGATAGGAATGTGCAAGACAACACAGTTTAGTGCAATTTTAACACTATATTCAAGAGACTCTTATATTAACATCAAGCCCAATCAAAAAGTCATCTGGTTTCACTCAAACCTGAAATATATTTAAAGTGATTCTCAGCCCAGCATTTAAAAGGTGTTCATAGTGCTAAATATATTCTTTCGCTCTTTATAAACACAGACACATAATCCATCAGTACGGACATTAATTTATGAACACTGTATTTCAAATATCTGTCTATTCTTGTGCACTGGGCTAAATCCATTCTTCACAAAATTTCTGTTCTTGTTTTACACCTCATGATAAAACATAGTCATGTTAGAAAAAGTCTGTCATCTATTGGGCTAAGACTTAATTTTCAACACAGCTTTGATATGGTAAAGTGACCATCACTTTGTCATATTTTCATATTTTTGTGATAACATCCCATACCATATTCTAATAGCAAGCGCATTGTGTAAAAATAATGTATGTCTTAATTTGTGGTGATTTTGCAATATCTAGAGAGTTAATCAGTGTTTGACTAACAACTCTTTATATAATAGGGAGAAATTAACTTCAGTATCGTCCCCCATCCTTCTCTCTTTCTAGCTTTGCAAGATGAATATCAAAACAAGAGAGACATGGGTATGGCAAGAACCAGATGCCTATCCCTCTGAACCAATCTTTGTTTCACACCCAGATGCCCTGGAAGAGGATGATGGTAATGTTATTTCTTTATTCAAGTCTATGCACATCTTTTCTCCAGTGAGTTAGGAAAGCTTTCTTTGAATGCCAGCCGTCTTACACAATAATTGCAAGAAAAGAAACGTTGTACACAAATATTCACTGATAGAATAATGGAAAACTTGTTCAGATTTTGGTTTAATGGTCGTTGCAGTTTTCTTGGATGATATAGTGGAGATTTGTTGAAGTATCTGGTGCTGCTTCAGCTAGGTAACTCCTTTTTATTTTTGGTTCAGGTGTTGTCCTGAGCATTGTCATTAGTCCTGGAAGTGGACCAAAGCCTGGCTACCTTTTGATCTTGAGCGCAAAGGACATGAGTGAAGTCGCAAGGGCAGAAGTGGACATAAACATCCCAGTTACTTTTCATGGACTCTTCAAACGAGCATGATGGCTGCACCTTCACTAGACCTATTATTAAAGCCTGACTTTTAGCATAACGGATGCAGCTACGAACTGTACTTAAAAAACTACACCCTTCCAACTATCTGTCCCGAGGACCTGTAGAAGTATTTTAACATTTCAAAGAACTGCACACTGACAGAATTCAAGAATACTTTTATAATCCTCATGTACTGTAGAGAAACAAATGGTATATGAAACTGTCAGCATTTGGTATTTTTCATTCAACAAATAAATTTAACTGAAAAGAAGCATTGTCAATTGCCAAATAGTCTTTCATGAGTCGGTAGCCTGACACACAAACTTTTAAAGCAAATGGATGATTGTGTAGGTGGGTGGGGGTAAAGAGACTCAAGTCCATTTCACACACAAAAAAAACTTAATTATGGACAGATTTTGTAACTGTTAGTCACTGAGCAAATATATTTTCAGAAACAAAGTGAGAATGCATTCTTTAATATAGTCTTGAATTCTAATACTTTTTAACAATTATGAACAAGTTAAAAAAATAATTACAATAAATCTCTTAGCTTTTTCCCCACTTCTGAGGAAAAATAACACATTCATGATCTTACATCCAGAAAGAATTAATCCAAAAGTCTTTATTGCACCAACCTGAAGAGTCTTCAAGACAGAGGTAAAAACTGCATTAAAATTGTGAATGTTCATGAAAAGCTCTTTACAATCAGAGCCTCATAACTTAGAAGACACACCTCTGTGCACCGTCCTGCAGCTTCAACCACCTAATATAATTTCAGGGGCCAACTCTGTGGGAGGTAAAAACTGCCAGAGATAAAAATAAGGTGTTTACATCAGTTGGCTCCCCTTCATTTTGTTTTTGTTTTTTTTGGAAGTGGTGGCAAAGAATTATTTAATTTATTAGGTTTATACACCAGCCTTCCTCATAGGATCTCAGGGTGGCTGACAGAATACAGGATAAAAACAAGTAAATAATTAAAAACAAAACAGTAAAATGGTAGCTTTTGGCTTGGCTGGTTAGTATATTCTGGTGTTTCTGGTGCTGTTAAATCTGTTTTCTGTATTATTTAAGTTTTGTTTTAAATTATTAACTTGACACACCTTAAACCTTGGTATATCAGCTAATAAATGATTTCCATAATACTTGTTTGGTTATATTCAGCACAAAAGACATCAATTTAAAGTATCCTATCATTGGGTGTGGACAGTAATAGAAGCATGATTGAAGACTGATATATAAACATATATAGAAATCAAACATTTTCATACTAAGAAATCATGATGACAATATTAAAATACTAGTTGTTTCTATTTAACATCCAGGGAGCCAGATGTTCAAATTCATTTTTTTACCAGCAGGTTTTCCTGCTTACATTCTTATGACAGGAAGAGGAGACTGTTGCGGGGACATGATCTGGTATTTCTGCTGTTTCATAATTCTTAAGCATTGTGCAATAACCTGCCAAAAGAAACACACAACAAATCCAACAACAACAATTAATGTATTTGGAACATTCTAAAGTGCTTCACAAGACAAATGCAACTGACAATTACTGTAGAAGCTGAATAAAATGTATCAGAAGGTGACTCTAAGGATAAAGAGAAGATGCTAAAAGCAATTATCATGAAAAAATATGTAAAGCAAAAACTGTAGGAAAGGCAAGCAAAGGAATATAGGAGGAAGCAGATAAACAAGCAGTGAATGTGTTGTGTCAATTTATTGTTGCAGTAAATTAAGAGGAAAAAAACATCATCTGCCCATTATTTCAGAGAGAATTACATCCCTAAAGTATGCTACCAATAACTGTTCTGTTTCAATTATGTCTAGGAACGCGGGTGGCGCCGTGGGTTAAACCACAGAGCCTAGGACTTGCCGATCAGAAGGTTGGCAGTTCGAATCTCCGCAACAGGGTGAGCTCCCGTTGCTCGGTCCCTGCTCCTGCCAACCTAGCAGTTCGAAAGTGCGTCAAAGTGCAAGTAGAGAAATGGGTACGCTCTGGTGGGAAGGTAAACGGCGTTTCCATGCGCTGCTCTGGTTCGCCAGAAGTGGCTTAGTCATGCTGGCCACATGACCCGGAAGCTGTACGCCGGCTCCCTCGGCCAATAAAGCGAGATGAACACCGCAACCCCAGAGTCAGTCATGACTGGACCTAATGGCCAGGGGTCCCTTTACCTTTACCTTCAATTATGTATGCCCTACCAACTCCCTTACTAATCACTAGGGCTGTCTAAAGTGCCCTTACCCTTGAACTGCCCTGTGGCTCTAATCTAAAAGGCCTCCATCAGGCCAACCTGCTCCACAACTGGTCCAAAATAATTCAGAAGTCACACTAATGTTCAATTTGTTTTTGTTTTTAACGGGGGGGGGGGTATTTTTAACAAACAAATAAACAAACAAGCATACAGCCAGGGGGAAGGCAGGGGAAGGAAACGTGCCTTCTTCCCCTCCCCTCCATATACTATTTTAACAGAAAAAAACAGAAACCAGTATTTTTTAACAGGTAGGCTTGAGAAGGAAGAGATATTGAACATCTTATAGAGACACAGAGAAAGAAGCTTACCTTCCTTGAACTCTGCGGTAGGATTACACCATCATCCCAGAGTCTGGCAGAAGAGTAGAATGCACTGCTTTCTTCCTCTAGTCTTAAAAGACAAAAGAAAAAATTCAATTTTCGACTGCATTTGTAAAGATATATTGTACTTTGGGGAATACTAAGATAATATAGCACATTTTTAATACCCCCAAACTGAAGAGCCAACGGTCTGCTTCAAAAAGTAAAATAATCACTAGTATAGAAAACAAGTAACTCCAAAAAATTATAATTCTTTTATAAAATTTAAAAAAACTAGAAGCAGCACCCTGAAACATCAATACCATTAATTCAATCATAACACTGAGGTTTTTGTTGAATGCACCTACTTTTCCTTTAATAGTTTTAAGTCTACTTCTGCTCCTTGTCGATCAGCATCCCAAATAAATGAGAGCGTGTGGCAATGTCTTGAATCCACAAGGCCTATTCTTGCATTGGGCCAGAGGAACAGGAAGTCTGGATCAAATGATCTTCCACACTAAAGAGAGACAACACAAGACCAGAGAAATTCAGAAATGAAAACTCACCATTTAAGCCAGCTTGAACAAAGCATTGACTCAAGGGAAACATATTAAGAAGGCATTAAAGAACTGTGAAATATAGTGTCCATCTAATTTAAAACACCAATTTCTGGTTTCAGTACAGTCTGATCCTTTGGAGCCATGTCTACTTGTGTCAACAATAATTCTGTATTTTCCTCACTACATCCTAGAGATTCTTCGTTATATCAAGTTTCAAGTGTGGTATTCAACTACCATGTCTTGTAAGCACAAGGATTTATGCTTACACAAGGGGACATTTTCCATTTCTTCCCACCACCACAACCTTCCCTTCAGAGGGTTGGGGGAACACCTAGAACAGATCTGTCCCAACCCAGTAACCGCATGATGACATCACAAATCTACTCCTTGGGTAAGTAACAATCCAAGTATTGGGGGGGGGGGATGCAGGGTCAGGAGGGGGAAGAACATCTGCCCCATTGTGCAAGAAGAAATCTTTGCACTGATGGAACAAGAGACTTAGCACCATGTTGAATTTTACCCTAAGAAACTAGCTAGGACAGGAGCTGTGTACATGGGGCATGTGGGTGAGGAAAGAGAAGCTGATCCTACGTTCAACAACCTACCATAGCATAGCTTTCATTTCCATAGCAGCCACCAATCACAAGGGTTATCTTGGGAACAGCAGCACAAGCAACTGCAGCCATCATGGATGCTTGTGCTTTCAGCCTATTAGTGTGATCCTCTGCCTGAATTAAAATGAAAAAACGGTGAGTTATTTATTTTACTTTTTACATGTAGATGTTCCCTTTATTCCTGGTCTCAACATGTACAGGATTTGCAAATCTTTTATATGAATATTTAAGTGACTAATTTGCCTACCAACAGTAAAAAGGGGAAAAAGAAGATGGTAGTAATTTCAGCACTAGAAATTCATTGTTCTAGTCTGTTCCTCTTCAAAACAGAGACCAAAGCTCTCTATCTATGCACATGCAGACTAAAAGAAAACAGGAGTTTCGAAAATTGACAGTCCATCATTTTCCAGGCACAAAAACAAAGTATACTACTTGGAAATACTGAGCTCTGTAGGGAACATTATTTTTCATTGTATATGGTGAAATCTGCTAGTTCTGATTTTTTTTCCACATAGCATGAATTTAGTTAATTGTAATCATTACTACTGAATTTCCAACAAATAAGCTTGCATTATAAGGAAATTACAGTTTCTAGGTATACAACAGCACTTCTTATGCACTCAGCACTCCAGATGTTAACTTGTTGGGCTCCTAATTTGGCTGACAAGCTACCTTAAAAAAAAGATAAAGGACCTCTGACAGTTAAGTCCAATCGCGAATGACTCTGGGGTTGCAGCGCTCATTTCGCTTTACTGGCTGAGGGAGCTGACGTTGTCCGCAGACAGTTTTTCAGGTCATGTGACCAGCATGACTAAGCCGCTTCTGGCGAAACCAGAGCAGTGCATGGAAACACCGTTTACCTTCCCGCCGGAGCAGTACCTATTTATCTACTTGGACTTTGACATGCTTTCAAACTGCTATGTTGGCAGGAGCAGGGACCGAGCAACGGGAGCTCACCCCATCGTGGAGATTCGAACCGCCGATCTTCTGATCAGCAAGCCCTAGGCTCAGTGGTTTAGACCACAGCGCCACCCGTGTCCCACAAGCTACCTTAAACCTGGGAAATACCAAGTGGAGAGATTTCCCCTCAATCATTTTTCAAACTTTTTACATTCAGAGAACCCGTTCCCTGTTGGATGCAGAGGAATCTGTTATTGCAGGGAAGAACCAAAGTGAGCAAACATTTCCAGTGAAAAAGCTTTTTTCCATTTGAAACTGAAAGCGTGACACCCTAATTCAGAGCCATTTGACTGTGCTCTGTACTAGTTGCTTTACCTGCGTGAGACTGGTTATCTCTGCTGCACATGAAGCTGTATTCAGGAGAAAAAGGATTGGAATGTTTCGTTGGCTACAAAGCTGTATGAAGTGGGAACCCTTCAGAGAAGCTTCATGGGTCAGCTCACCGTTGTTAGCCACTATTCCAACTAGCTGTCTAACAAAAACATAAAACACTTTTTATAGTACAAGGGTAGTAGAAACATTTAAATCAACATAGTAAGTATCCTCCATGTGTTTAGTACTATAACTTTATAATATCACCTTAAACAGGCAACAAATTATTTGCATTACTTTACTTCAAAACTCCCAAGATACTTAGAAAAGTTTACAATAAATAATCTGCTGCTACAAGTCATTTAAAAGAATATGGTTTGGGTGAAGTGCAGGCATGGAAAATTACTTATCTAAATTCTTGTCTAAATTCCCTTACTCTCAAAAGCAGGAATGTTTGTGCAAGAGATCTGTCATAAATTATTAGGAGGGATCTAGGGAGCCCCTTATGCGAGGGGAAGGCATGTTCACTATTGGCCATGATGGCTGGGAATGATGGCAGTTGTAGTCCACACAAGATTGTGGGCTAGCTTAGAATGTATGGACAAACATGGTTCCAATGCCAAAGTATGAAGCAACAATCTAATGGGTTACTTATTATGTACTGGTTATGGACATTCAAGGCTGAAAAAGCTCAAATTAATCATGCAAATTTGTACTTTTAGTGACAAAAGCATACATTTTCATAAACAGATGATCCTGCATAAGTAGTTAATATGGAACTTATTTGTTAATGTTCTCAAGTCTGCTTACAACAGGAAGCAAAATACAGTTCATATTCTCTGTGGCGTAATTTTCCATTATGATGAAAAGACAAACCATCTCAACTATCATATTTTCATCTCAGAGGAAATCAATGAGTTTGAGTCTGCAGCATGCTTTATTAATCCTAGCAAAATAATTCACTTTCTAGAGCTACTTAGAGACAAGCTTAACATTAATGGAAAAGGTTAGGCCACAAGAGGCTTCTCTTTCACTTACAAAACGGACTTTAAATATTTATTTGAGCTTTTTAAAGTTTTGAGTGATCTTAGAGTCAGTGAAAGCAGTCTTATTATCAGCCCTAGAGAATAAGGCCTGCTTAACCATTCAACTGACAACCCAGAAGGTGGCAGTTCATCAGGCTCTTTCAGGCTGCACCACAAGCACTTACTAGCTTCTGGATCCTAGACTTGACTTAAGCAGCTATGTGCAGAAATGGATTTTCTGCACAGTAAGCCATTACTTCAAAATATTAAATACAGTGTAGCACTTGCCCAAGGAAGGCTAACAGGATGGCATTGAGTTCTCATTGGACAGAGAAGGAGCATGGATAGGAACAATGGCCTGCTGCACGGAGAGCTGCACATTGGGGGAAAGCCTGTTCAACGTACTGACATTTTGTTTTGAAGACGTTGTATATGTTGCAATGCCAGAGAGTACACTGCCTATAATTAATTTTAAGGAGGACTCACAAAATTGCTAAACAAAGTTATGGAGGGACTTGGGTAGACTTGCCAGTGCTTCCCCTTCATCAAATAGTTTGAAATGTTTTATGTAACTATTCCCACTGGTTACACAAACCATACCACCTTAAAATTTTGATTTTTTTAAACGGACAAATGGTGAGGGGAGGCTTTTGCTGCTGGACTCAATAGTTAGCAGGTGCCCAGCACACACATGCACATACAGTGGTACTTCTAGATGCGAACGGGATCCATTCCGGAGCCCCGTTCGCATCTAGAAGCAAACGTAACCCATGTCTGCGCAGGTCACGTTTCAGCGCTTCTGCGTATGCGCGTGACGTCATTTTGAGCATCTGCACATGCGCAAGCGGCGAAACCCAGAAGTAACACGTTTCGTTACTTCCGAGTTGCCGCAGGGCGCAACTCGAATGCGCTTATCCCGAAGCACATTCAACCCGAGGTATGACTGTATACGAGGTGTTAGTGAGTGGTGATGATAGCTGAGAACTCACATTTCTCTAGCAACAGCAAATTGATGTTTGTTGGGAATGCAAGTTCCCCACACATCAAAGTTCTACCTAAGAGAAGGATTAGATCTCATGCAAGAATGCGATTGTAAATTATTTGTGCAAGACAACTATTCTGGAAAGATCCTAGAAACAACTCATCAACTAGATTATATTAAATTAGGTCTGATCAGTATCTTTTAGAGCTGATCATGGTCTTTCAGATGTCAATATATGTCTTGGCCCAAAGCTAGCCATTGCTATGTTTATTAAATAAATTGCTAATTTGCTTAATGTAATCAGGTCTTTGCTGATGGTTTGTTAGTAGTGTGATACTGATAATTCTTCTGAGCACTGAGATTCCAAAATGAAATTTCGTCTGCAAGCTTTTTAAGTTGAAATATGAAAATATTTAGCAAAGATAAATCTTAAAAAGAAGAATTACTAACGGTAGAATCATATGCATTATACACAGAAGTAAGTTCCACTAAATTCAATAGGGCTTATTCACAGATGTGGATATAGTACTGCAGTTGTAAACAATTCTATAAACACATACAATGTTTTTATTTTTTTAAAAAGGTGCAATTTACTATTAATCAACAATGCTGATTGTCTAGTCAGGTGGCTAAGTACAGACTATATTAATTTAAAACCCCAAAATGTAAGCACTAAGCACTTGGAATACAATGAATCCAACAAAATTTAAATCCAGTTATACACCTTGGCTTTCAAAAAAGAGTAACAATGTAAAAACAATTGCATAAGTGATCCAAACAACCTGGGAGCCATAATATAGTATGGCTACATTTCTATCCCTGTAACAAATCTAAACTCAATTCTGCAATTTCAAGTGACTTTAACAGGGATCAAATTACCATTTGCTTGAACAACTAATCATTAAAAAGTGTTGCAATAATGTGGCCCGCTGGTTTAAACTTCTCCCTTACCCTTCTATGTAGGCAAATCCTGCTACTAAGGTAGTTCCATAATTAGCTTTGAATTCCTGGAACCTGCTGCCATCTATCATCCGACTCAGGATCTATAAAATATTGTCAAGAGAAATGAAAAATCAATAGTAGGTAGCTTGCTGGAAAAAAAATCATGTCTTCTGTCTCCAATTATGGCTCAATATTCAAAGATAATGGATGATGTCTGACTAAGTCATACTACGAGTAGACACACTGAAATTAAATCCAATGATTTCAATGAGTCTACTTCAAGCATGATTGAGTCAGGTACTACTCTATGTTAGATCACAAAATTGTAAACTTTAACATTCAAAATTGTTTTACTTGTTTAGATACCGACCAAAGCTAACATTTTATGATTTAAGTAGGTATTGGTAGAGCGTAAGACTCTTAATCTCAGGGTCATAGGTTTGAGCACCACGTTGAGCAAAAGATCACTGCATTGCAGGGGGTTAGACTAGATGACCCTCATGGTCCCTTCCAACTCTACGATTCTATTATTCCAGTGGGTTCAACAGCTACAGCCTAATGGAGCTAGCCTGATCACAGTAATCCAGGCTGTAGTAATTTCCCAGGTTAACTACCATTACAGTAGTAGGGCTACCCTTGGAAGATGGTCCAGAGACTACAGCAAAATGTTGCAGCACGGAAACTGACAAATATGATAACTCAGGAGCATACAACACTGCTTACAATGCAGTTGCGTTGCCTGTCTATTTGTCACTGAGCCCAGTTTATGCCCCGAGCTGTTTATGGCTTTGTATGCCATCGTCAATATGGCATATAAAGTCGTAAATAGCTTGGGGCATGAATACCTGAAAAAACACCTTTCTCAATACTATCTTGTCCATGACCTGAGATCTGCTGGGCAGGTCCTATTACTTGGTTCTTATATCAAGAGAGATCCTGTTAACTGGCATCCAGAGTAAGGTATTCTTGGCAGTAGCACCCTAAATCTGGAATGAAGTACACCCTGTGATCAGGCATCTCCATTAAGCTGGAGGAGGGAAAGAGTAGGACAGCCTTACTGCTAATAAAAACTAAGTAGAAGTAAATAGACTAATAAGGCTTTTTGATTCATGAAGAATATGGTGAATACTTCTCACATCTCTTCCTGAGGTTTATGAGAAATAACAACCAACTACAAACCATGGCCTCGACTATGGACACATAAAGGAGTAGACCATTTGAAATACTCAAATTAACCCTTGATCTACCTTTTCAACTCAGCACCTCAACACAGTATCATCTCTGGAAGTACTTCTAAAAGCAAGCAGCAATGGACAACTTTCAGAGAAGTAGCTGTGTTTGTTGGCTGTAAACAACAAAAAGTCTTGCAAGCACCTTAAAGACTAACAAAGGTATTATAACGTAAACTTTCATGAACTAAGATCCACTTCATCAGATGCATGAAGCATAATTAACAGTGCTGCCAACTGAGGATCGCACTTCATTGCAATGAAGTGGATTCTCTCAAAAGCTTATCCGATAATAAATTTGTTAGTCCTTAAAGTGCTTACAGGATTTTTTTGTTTTCACCAATTTACATAAATGATCCAAGAAAACTGAGCCACAGGATTTGTAGTTCAACCACTGTTAACTATACTGTCACACTGTTTATTTTTTAAGCCTACTAACGTCAATGGGATTTATATCAAGTAGCCTAACTTCAGATTGCAACAAACATTTTCCTTACCAATTTTATATGTAGAGTGTAGCTATAATCTTGTGGTGCAAGCCCCAGAAGCTCATCAGCACTGTACAAGGGACTGTCATACTGTACAGTTTCTTCTGTAGGAATTTCATAATTGAGTGTTGAAATAATATTTCTAACACATTCGTATGCTTCTTTTTCTGAAGATGCAAAATGGTCAACACAGCCACTGACCCTGAGAAAAATAATTTACAAATATTTGGCAACAGATAAAATTCAAGGCAACAAACATGATCAGAAAACATTACTACTAACAGTAAAATAAATGATTCCTTATATTTATCTTCTGTCTTTCAAGTGATTGGAAATAATAAACATTTGCCTCAGACAAGATAATTTCTTACAAAAAATATATTAAAGCTGGTGAGACTGTAATATCAATTTGCATTAACTGTACTGAAGGAGGAGTGCTATTAGTTTTCTTCATGAATTCTCACGTTTAGAGTAGCACAACGTGCTCTAGACAGAAACTATTGCTACTGCAGAATGCAGGTGCCAGGGCTGTGAATGGTGCCACATAACACTTGTTCTGCACAAACTACACTTGTTCCCAATTCAAATTTCACTGGGTCCCAAGTACTTGAAGGAGCACATCTCCCATTATTTGCTGGCCTATGGCTTCAGATGTGCTGAGGATCTTAGCAGCTTCTCACAATCCCTCTACCAAGCATAGGGCATGGGGCAGTGATGCAAAGGAAGGTCTTCTTGGTTGCACCACTCCATCTGTGGACCACCACTCCGCTCTGAGATAAGGTTGGCTTTCTTCTTGAGATTATAGTGTGGTGCGACAGCACACCTTTCCAATCAGGCCTATAGTGCAGTGATGCTGTCTGGTTTTTGTGTTCTGATTTTTGCTGTGAAAATAACAATCAGTGGTACCAGGGCTTTTTTCCAGTCAGAACTCACAGAAACTCAGTCCCATGCCTCTCAGGTGGGCCCCACTGCCATTCTAAGAGAACAAAGGAGGTGTTCTTGGTGAGATCCAGCACTTCCTTTTTCTAGAAGTGGGTTGTACGGTTTATTATTTGGTTTTGTTCCTCCCTCATTTTAATGTAAAACGTGCAGTACTTGTGCAAGGTACTGAAAGAACAGGATATAAACAAACAAATGTTGTATGTTGAGGGAAGATTTTCGACCCAGAAATAGATATGGGCCAACTAAGTGCAAATAATGCAGCACTTTTTTGTTTCTGGATGCTTCTGACATTTGCAGGCATTTTAAAAAAATGAGATCATTATACCTAGAAAAACTAGGACTAAAGGTATCATTCAATCAATATTAAGAGCTCAGGAACAAATAATATACCTACTTAGCATGCAGGTTGGCTCCTCCCAGTGCCTCGGGATGAATATCTTCTCCTGTGGCAGCTTTAACTAAAGGGGGCCCGGCGAGAAACATTGTGCCAATTTTATCTACAATAGCTGTTTCCTCTGCCATGGTAGGAACATAAGCACCTCCTGCAGTACAAGAACCACACACAACTGCCACCTAGAGGACACACCAAGATAGCTGGGTAAGAAAAAAAGAACAAAGATGAGGAAATATTTAATTTTATGTTGTAAATTTCCAGGAAAAGTTATCAAGCATATGATTATATTGAGAAATTCCACAGGAAAAAGGAGTCAGGAGTTTTATTTCAGAGAGCAGTATCAAATATCTCAGACTTAATTTTATATTGTACGGCAATAATATATAATCCTTACTTAAGCAAGGAAAGCATGTGCAGGCTATACCTCAAGATACAAAATCTGTATTATGATTTGTGACAGCTTGTCAGGGTTGGGGTTTTTTACAGCAAGTTCTCTCCACACCTACATTTTTTGAGGTGGGCAGAACATGCTCCAGTGTTATCACCATTGAGAAGAGGTAGTAGTATCATGCCTGTGTGACATGTTGCAAAAGGAAGGGTAACCAGCTCAGATTATTCAGGGACCCAGTGTGTTCATGATGTGAAGAGAATTTAGAAGGAATGTTGAAGCGAATGAAAGTACTGACAGGTGTTTAATGCAAGATGTTAATGACTAACTATGGTCAGATATTTAAGATATGAATGTAATGGCCAATGATTATCTACCATAATGGTTTCTGATCATAGTGGACCTATTCCTTGTGCAACAAATGCAAAATTTAAACTGCTGGATGACTCTTCCAAAACACTATGAACTGCTTTGCTCAGCAATGTATTCTTTTACTTATTAACTATATACTACTGGGAAATGCATTTTTAATGCACAGATTTCTTCCCAATATTATACCTGAGGGATTTTCAATGCAGACATCACAGCCTCATTGTAGAAAACTCGGCCTCCATGGAATTGGTCAGGAAACAACTCTGCCTATTAATACAGAGGCAGGAAATACAGTAAAAATTCAAAAGTTACAAAGCCTATGTTCTATGCGGTTGTTCTGCCTCTTTCTTTTTCAAATGTTGTTTTTAGCATATTGAAAGAATCATTATTTTTCTGAAAATCTGTATTTTCTTTTTTGGAGTTCCCCCCAAAAAACCCTAAGTATATTCTGTGCGGTAATTTTATATATACCAGTAACTCATCTTTCTTTGACATGGTTAATTCATTGACAGTTCAATGACAAACTGGCTTTGACTTTGTTACCTTGACTATTTTTCGAGTACAGTGGTACCCCACAAGACGAACGCCTCGCAAGACGGAAAACCCGCTAGACGAAAGGGTTTTCCGTTTTGGAGGCGCTTCGCAAAACGAATTTCCCTATGGGCTTGCTTCGCAAGACGAAAGCCCATAGGGAAATCTCCGGGGACCTCTTTTAAATGCTAGCGGTGGGGAGCAAAGCCTTTCCCCCCCCTCCGGCCTTCAGAAGAGGTCCAGGAAGGCTGGCGGGGGCCGAAGGCTTTGCTCCCCACCGCCAGCATTTTAAAAGCAGTCCGGGATAGCAGGGAAGCGCTTCCCGCTATCCCGGATGGCTTTTGAAGGCAGGAGAGGTCCGCGAAGCCTGGGCGCGCTGATCTCAGCGCGCCCAGGCTTCGGCATGCCGGCAACTCTCCGCAAGCAGCGGCAGCGCTGCCGCTGCTTGCGGAGAGGTTCGCGAAGCCTTGGCCGGACAGCTTTTGAAGGCAGGCGGGGGGGGGGAGCAAAGACTTTCGCCCCCTGCCAGCCTTCAGAAGAGGTCCTGGACCTCTTCTGAAGGAGGGCGGGGGGCAAATGTCTTTGTCCCCCCTGCCTGCCTTCCCGGGAGAGCGGAGAAACGCAGCGCGTTTCTCCGCTCTCCCGGGAGGGCTTTTAAAGGCAGGCAGGGGGGACAAAGACTTTCGCCCCCCGCCAGCCTTCAGAAGAGGTCCAGGACCTCTTCTGAAGGCTGGCGGGGGGCAAAAGTCTTTGTCCCCCCTGCCTGCCTTCCCAGGGGCTTTTAAATCGCCCCGGACAGCGGAGAAGTCCTCCGCTGTCCCGGGGCAATTTTAAAATGCCGCCCGCCAGCATTTTAAGATCGCCCCGGACAGCGGAGAAGCCCTCCGCTGTCCCGGGGTTTTTTAAAATGCTGGGGGTGGGAAGAAAAGCCCTTGTCCCCCCCCCCAGCCTTCAGAAGAGGTTGGGGGACAGACTGTCCCCGGACCTGGTCTGAAGTCGGTTTCCCTAGGAACGCATTAATTGATTTTCAATGCATTCCTATGGGAAACCGTGCATCGCAAGACGAAAAACTCGCAAGAAGAAAAAACTTGCGGAACGAATTAATTTCGTCTTGCGAGGCACCACTGTATACAATATTTTTAGGACACAGACTTGAAAGCTAACGATAAAACAAGTCAAAGGGAATCATTTTAAGCAAATTAAATCAATCGGTTTCATAGAACATGTATTTTACCTGAAGTGGCAAGAATGCTCCCCCACTGTCCACAAGGTAAACTGATGGAAGTCTATTTTTAATTGCTATTTCTTGAGCTCTCAGTTGTTTCTTCACTGAAATAGGATAAATGGTCCCACCTTTCACAGTTGCATCATTTGCCATGAAGACACACCAGACTCCACAGATTTTTCCAATACCTGCAACAATGACTATTGTCATTACATTTTACAAACTGTATGAATTATCCACTTTGGGATATTTTGTAACTGGATCATAAAGTAAGGCAACTAAGTACATAAATATGCTAGAGGGGTCTTTTGTAGCATATTAAAATGCTAAGGAACTCAGAAAGAATGCAGCTCAACTTTCAGCTATCCTCTTTTACTTACAATGCTGCTAGACTTTGAACATGTGTAGTGAATGAGAACTGTTGTGGAACTAAGCAGTGACTCAGCTGATAAGGTATCCTATGGTGACATTTTTCAATACATGCAGATAAAATTACTTGTTTATCAAAAGATCATATAACAGAGGTCGTCAAACTAAGGCCCGCAGGCCGGATACGGCGCACTGGGCTCCTTAATCCGGCCCGTGAACCTTGCAAACCCTGCCACCCGCTCGGTCAGTCCCCGCGCTAAACAGGCGCAGCGCAGAGGCCTCGCCGCACGGAGACTGACTTCCGTGATGCGGCATGGCTTCTGATTGGCTGCAGGAAGCTCCTTCAGCCAATCAGAAGCTGCAGCCGCCTCTGGGCACCGCCCCTTCCTTCCCGCTGAGGCGGCCGAGCAGGAGGAAGTGGCCGAGCAGGAAGGAAGCGGCAGTGGCGTGGAGGCTGCCTCCGCCGCCCAGGCCAGCGGCATGGGCTCCGTGCCCTGCCAAGACAGAGGACGCCGATGCTACCGAAGACAAGGCAGCGTCGGCGACTGTGGTGTGAGTGGCATAGGCAGGGGGGCCTTTCGGGAGGGGGGTGCTTTCAGGAGGCGGTGGGTCCGGCCCCCAACAAGGTCTGAGGGACAGTGGACCAGCCCCCTCCTGAAAAAGTTTGCTGACCCCTGTCCTATAAGCCCAGTGTAGAATCTCCTCATTGCTTTGTTTGTTGTCACAGAATTATTTCTGTCCTGAACAAATTAATTCTTTCAACCAATTAAATAAAGGCTGCAATCCTAATTCCTCCCCACTGCTAAAAGAGGAGCCATCACTACATTCCCAGCCCTGCTGCTCATGGTGGCTGCAATGGAAGCAGAGGAGGCAGGACAACTGGGTCTGATCCCTGGGCCAGCTCAAGGTCTGGATCCCAACTCCTGTATTTTGAAGTCTTCTGTTGGGCTCTGAAAGTGTGAATACTACCAGCAAGCCTCCTATCTACTTGAATGTCTGGCAACCAGTTAACTGAGCTGAAGGGTGTCTCTGCTCAATCCAACCCCACATCTGGTATAAGGTTGGGTATGGATTGCATTGATCAGTTAAAGTCAGATGACAATCTATCAAATGTACATACAGTATTATCAATATTTCAGCTTGAGATATTAGATTTAAAGGCCAGCTTTAATACTTTTTTCATTCCTGCTCCACAGACAAGAATCCAAAACATCCTCAGAACAAGTGTTTTCTAAATCACAGCCTGACCAATTAATTGACTGAGGCTTTAGTTGATTAATTTATCAATTTAACTCATTAAACCTTGTGTCCATGCTGCAGAAGAATTGAGGTTAATTTTATGCATCACAGATAGATGACACCATAATATGCACTACACACGTAACCACTATGAGAAAACACAAATGAACAGCTTTCCTATCAACTTCAGGGCCACTACTTAAATTCTAAGTATTGTTTTCTCATAAGCCCTTCATCAATCTCTCAACTGTGTAGCTTAGTGAGGACTGGTTTCCACTGCTGACATCATGTGTCACCGCTGCACTGGATCAAGGGGCAGGTAGGCAAAAGAGCTGGCAAGAGGCTAACTGCAGATATGAGGATGCCATTTTGTCTATTACAGAGCACCTAAGTTTCTACTTTAATTTAGTTAACAGATATAATGTGCCCCTCAAAAATCTTTCGTTACTATATGCAGAAAAAAAGCATTACATTTAAGCATGAAAGAAAAACTACGCGTGTGACTCTTGCCTTGCAAGGTGGATACCATAAACAGATTTACATGTCTACTGTACATTAATACCCACATAGGAAAGCCTTATTTGATGTGCCAAACCAAACCTGATCCCAAACATTTGCTTCCAGTTGTCGGAAAGGTAGCTTAAGGCACTCTAATGTCTCCCTCTCATTCTGTCTTCACTACTGCATCTTCCAACAGGCATAGCACACACTATCAATTGGCATGAACTGATTAACTGCATGCAGATTTATTATACTGCAATTTACCTTTTAAAAAATCCCTTACGCAAAACCTACCAGTGAGACATCCTGCTGCAGGAACATCACCATAAGGCATATCAAGGCCTGCAAAAGGGGAGAGCTCAAGGAAACTTTCATCATCAAGAAGCATCTTTAAGCGTTCACGAACAAGCAACTTTTTGTTCTTCTGAGTGTGGCGCAATATTGCATCTTTTCCTCCTCCTTTACTGACCTTCACAAGCAACTCTGAATACCTGATATCAAAATGAAAAGCTCAATGGAACTGAAAACCAACTTATGTTGCCAAAGACAAAAGTACCTTAAGAACAAGTTAATCCAACACACATATTAACAACACTGCCATCATACTTGTGGGGAAATAGTGTGACTGTATTATTCAAAATTCAGCAACAAAGAAAAAAATATGAATTTAAACTGGACACATACATGTGTTCACATGTCAAATTAGGGGAAACCTTGTATGACATAGACATAACCTTGATCCTGAAAAAACATGAAAACATTTGCTTCATGGAACTGTGACTAAAGATTTAAGTACAGACTTAAAACAGCTTCTTCAGAACTATATTTCTTAAGAAATGAAAAGAGCAAATAGAATTTTGTCCTTACCTGGAACCAGTCTCATACTCAAAAGTAAAAGTGCTTGGCTGATTTTACTGTGAATTCCCAAACGGTCCTATGACCAACCACAAAGCTAGGACAGCCTATCATTCAAAAATTAACTGTATTATTTGATATTTGTATTCTGGCTTTCTCGAGAGATAAAATGGAAACAGTTAAACTAAAATAACTAATGCAAAATACTCATTTTCATGAGTTTTCTTTCAGCTTGCACTACTAGTTTTGAATAAAGCCCTTTGGGCTGCTGCCATTTTTTTCTTCAGGACCAATACGTACAAGTAGTGAGTCACTTTCCTCTCTTTATCTGTGAATCATGATTAATTGAAAACTCTTAGGAAGATATGACTCATATATATCTTTGCATTCAAAATGAAATGAGGGACAGGTTTTATGACATTTTCAAAAATTTGTAAAGCATATAACACAGATAACATTTATGGTATCAACTTGCTAGATGCCTTTTTAAATGAGCTAACATTACTCCAAAAGTGCTAAAGCATCTACCCAACTTGTGAAAACAAAAATCTTCACAAGACATATGCAGGTACATATATAATTTGAGAAATCATTCTAAACCTTTCAGGAGGCAGGAGAAATAACTTGTAACAGTTTTCAAGTTTATAGATAATTGAATTCAGCAAACCGATTAAGGAAAAAACTGAAGCCAGGAGAATTATTTTGGATCCTGGCCTAAGGTAAGGCTAGTTTGCAAGAACCTAAAAATGCTTCCCACACTCAAAACTGTTGAATCAAGGGACTAATGCTGTAGAAATATTTTTTTAAAAAATCAGTTACCTCTGAATGCAGATCTCACTGTTTCTTGCATTGCCTTCAACTATGTGTCTATACAGGGAAGGGATGCTTCCATCTAATACTGGAAAGTTTTTTTGATGGTTATGTTTATTGTTTATTTTGAAGCTCATAGAGGAGGAATGTAGCATGTTATGTGGAACCACGCTGGTGCATTTTTTTCCATCCTTGTATCTCCGAAGGCTCCATATTTGCTGTCTGCCTATGCCAACTTCCTGACATATGCTCTTGGAAGTTTGGAATAATGAAGAGCAGGAAGTAGACGAGGGGTGTCGTGAATACCTGGAGAGCATGGTGAGAGCGATCCACATGATCCTAGAATCATAAATAACATATTACTTATTTTTTAAATGCATATCCCATATCATCCCTGAATTCATACAAAAATAAACCAATAGCCCTCCCAAGATAAAATAATGTGGCATACGACTAGAACATTTCAGTTATCATTTTCAATGCTGTATGGAAGAAAGTGCACAAAAACTTTTCTTGAAGCAAAATCTCTGCTAGTTAATTTCATTTCACTTCAACAGCTAAAGAATTTAACTGAAAGGAAGGACAATTCTAGGGTCCACCTTTATACCTTATACCAGGCATGTCCAAAGTCCGTTTCGGGGGCCTAACTTTGGTTGGCCCCCACGGCCCTTCACTTCATCAAATTTGGCCCTCTTTGAAAAAGGTTTGGACACCACTGCTGCTAGTTGGGATGCTATACTCTACCAGCAGCAAAATCAATAGCACAGTAAAAGCACTAGAAAAAAGCTCTTGCCAACCACCAATTACAAAGTTATTCCCAATGATACACTTTTAGTGCAAAAAGAGATCAATCATCCTGTGGTAACAGCATTAATACCATGATGATGCGATTGAACCCATTCCACACATAATACATGAGCACTGTGCCAGGAAATCTCACAGCACCCCATTCAAAATAGCTAATTCCAAAGCTCAGTGGTTAGGAGACTCCAGTGCTTCCCTGAGGCTGGTATTTGAATCTTCTGACTGCCAAAACCCAGACGTTAGCAGAAAATTCCTTATGCCAAGGAAGGGACCAGGGTCACACACACAAAAGGAATGCCATTTCAGTTAGAACAGTGCAACAACACAATAACTAGGAGGAAGCCACCATGCAGAATTTAGGGGAAATTAAGATGTGGTGTATCTGGGGCTTTGTACTGCACCTTTCCTCTCAGGTTAAGTGGGCATAAGTTTGTAGCCTGTCAGCTAAATTAAGCCATTAACAGGTCAACTTTATTTTGTAAAGTGATGGGCTGAAATTAAACCTCAACCAACTATAAAAAATACAGAATTATTTTGCAGCAAGACAAACCCTGGGAGCCCATTTAGGGTGCACCAGCAGCCTTCTCCAACAGAGAGCACTCCAGATGTTGCGGGCTACAACTCCCATCTTCCCTGATCATTGGCTAAACGCTGGCTTAGGCTGATGGGAGTTGTACTACCCCTGAAGAACAGGATAAGCAAGGCTGCTATTCCTTCTGTGTCTGTTCTTTTGCTTCTAAAATGGTTGTTCTGCACTAATGCAGAATTAGGAATACGTATATGCAACTCATGAAAACTTATTTGTTCTAGCTGCATTACACTGAGCTTGAATGCTTTCTTGTCTCAGCGCGCGTTCAACAAGCCCTTGGCCAAAACTGATCTGACTGTCGCTCGCTTTTATTGCACTGACTACATTTCATTTCACCTAATGGAGAGGATGGACGAATTTGTTTTAGTGCCTCGACTATTGCTGTCCGCCTCATGTTTGCTCGTTTTGTTTGGTTTTGTTTGTTTGTTGTTTTGTTTAACTGGCGGGTCTCGGTTGCCGAGCGAGCCCAGAAGTGAGCGTGGTTGTTACGGCCCCAACCGAAAGCTCTTTCTTTCCCGAAGGCCCCGGAACCCTTTCAGAGCTCTGGCCCCAAGGGCGGCCCCGGAGTTTCGAGGGAAACAGCTGCACAGGCAAGTTCGCTGTAGGCGAAACCAAGGCCTCGTTTCCCTTTTTTATCCGTCCCCTCCGTCTCTGGCGTTAACCCGACAACCGGACTGGGTTCGCCCACCGCCAGCTGCGTCACCCGACGACCGTTGTCTAACGGCCATTTTCTACCCGCCCCGCCCCCCGCTTCGGGACGCACCGAAGGAAAGTTCGAAGTTACCGTTTTCTTTCAACTCTTGGCTTTTCCCAGAAGTCCCCGGCCCCGCTTCAGTACGTAAAGCGTCCTCCGCGTCCAGGAACGGGCTCCGCCCCCTCCGCGTCTCTCTCTCTTTCTCTCTCGTAAGGGCGGAAGCCAACGCCTGTCCCATGGGTAAGTGTGGGAGTGCGCATGCCCGCTTTCTTCACGCGCTTCCCCCTGCCCAGTTAACAGCACGTGCTGAGCGAGTCTCTCGCGGGCGCTTCCTCACGCCTGTTCCTCGAGTACAGCGAGCGGGGAGGGCAGAAGGAAAGCCATGCAGTCCAGCGTCCCGTTCGCACGGTGGCCAACTAGACACCTGTAGGGAATCCCGCAAGCGTCCTCTTCCCCACGCCCAACCACTGTGGTTTCCAGCATCTGCCATTCAGAAGCATTGCTGCCTCAAATTTTAGACGCAGAGCACAGCCAGCCTCTTTTGAAGCCATCTTTAGATTGGTGGCCATCACCGCCTCCTGTGGGAGCGAGTTCCATGGTTTAAATGAGGTGGCTTTGTGGATTAAGCCACAGAGCCTAGGGCTTGTGGATCAAAAGGTCAGCGGTTCAAATCCCTGCGACTTGGTGAGCTCCTGTTGCTCGGTCCCAGCTCCTGCCAACCTAGCAGTTTGAAAGCACGTCAAAGTGCAAGTACAGTGATACCTCAGGTTACAAACGCTTCAGGTTACATATGCTTCAGGTTACAGACTCCGCTAACCCAGAAATAGTACCTCAGGTTAAGAACTTTGCTTCAGGATGAGAACAGAAATTGTGCGGCGGCAGCAGGAGGCCCCATTAGCTAAAGTGGAGCTTCAGGTTAAGAACAGTTTCAGCTTAAGAACGGACCTCCGGAACGAATTACTTAACCCGAGGTACCACTGTAGATAAATAGGTACCACTCCGGCAGGAAGGTAAACAGCGTTTCTGTGCGCTGCTCTGGTTCGCCAGAAGCGGCTTACGTCATGCGGACCACATGACCTCCCGAAGCTGTACGCCAGCTCCCTCGGCCAGTAAAGTGAGATGAGCGCCACAACCCCAGGGTCATCCGCGACTGGACCTAACTGTCACAGCTCTGGACATTTTGTTTCCCTGAATAGATTTCATTATGTTTTCAAATCCCTTCTCTGTGCTATCTTTGCCTAACTTGCCCTTCCCACCCCACCCCCACGTGTTTCTCAATATATTTCATATTGGATTTATTCTTTAATTTTTTTACACAGAGAGCGTTTAACCCTTTTTCCATCTGGCTGAGGAGTTGCACTGGAAGGCTTTATGTTGATTCTGAGAGCCTATTGCAAAGGGAAACAAGGTTGCCATGTTTTATTAGTTTGTCTTTCATATGTTATTTAAAATAACCAAACATATGAAAAATAATAAACAGGTGTATAGTTAGTTGCAGATTGACTGGTATATCTGAAGTGATGCAAGAGCCTCATCTTTTATATGTTTGTTCATTTCCTTCCAGTCTTACCCCCCCCCCCCCAGATAGCATTCTATTTAGAAATAAAAATTTAAAATTTTGCCAAAAAAAGAAAGATCAGGAAACTCTTAGTACACCATGAATAAGCTCGTGAAACCACTAAAGAATAAAACAGCCCAAGGAGAAGCTCAGTAACTACTGAGGGAGTTTGGGTGTGTAAGTTAGGTTGCCAGATCTTTTGCAGACTTATTAATTAGTCCAAATAAATCATGGCTGCTCTCTTATCTTCACAGCATAATTGTGAGGAATGTTAAGCTGAGGGATGGTGACTGAGTTTTATAGCTGTATAGACATTTGAAGTTAGATCTCCTTGGTTCTAGACTTCCAGCACACAGATGTGACTAAGGTCACAGAGTCTGCAATCATGTTATATTTATGTTACTGACCTACTGTTTTGTTCTTGGTTTTATTATGAATTTTTTGTTTTTTCTCTTGTATTTTCATATAGTGAACTGCTCTGAGAATCCTCCCAACCCTATAATGCATATAACACCAATGTCTCACAACAAATGTAACTGAAGAACCTGAAGAAAGAGATAATGCATGTGCTTTTGAAAACGAGGGGAAATTATTATTTTTTTAAAGAAGAAAAGGAGTGTGTAGCAGCCCCCAGTATTAAAAGAGCCCCCACCCCTATTACATCATTAGAACCAGAACAAACCTATGAAACTAGAAAAGAGCAAAAAATATCAATGTTTGGTCCAGATCCTAGATACTGCACCCTCACTAAAGGAGACTGTATGGATGATTCACTAAATGATTGTAGGATGATGTGTGTACCTGAGCTTATGGCTTTAAATTCTCTTTATCTTATATTCTGCTTTATTACAAAAATGTCGACCAGACTACTGATCCTAAACTGAATAGTTAGTTGCCCAACCACCCCCTCCAGAACCCACTGCTCTCAACTGCCTCACATTCAAACTCCCTTTGAAATCCTCATCCAATCATCACTCACCACCAGAATTCCAAAATCTCTTTCCCCCTCCCCTCCCTCCTTAACATTCCCATAATCATTCTGATACAATTACCTTAATAACCCTACTACATTCAATATTATATACACACTGCTCCCTATAACCATACAGTGGTACCTTGAGTTAAGTACTTAATTCGTTCTGGAGGTCCGCTCTTAACCTGAAATTGTTCTTAACCTGAAGCACCACTTTAGCTAATGGGGCCTCCTGCTGCCGCCGCACCGCCGGAGCACGATTTCTATTCTCATCCTGAAGCAAAGTTCTTAACGCGAGGTACTATTTCTGGGTTAGCGGAGTCTGTAACCTGAACTGTATGTAACCTGAAGCGTATGTAACCTGAGGTACCACAGTACTGTTAGAAGCACTTGAACTTCCCATTCCTGGTTCCTAGGAAATGCGGATGAGAACTGCAGGTTCTCCATCCCTGTTCCAAAAACCAGGTGTCTTCCCCCAAATGTTTCTGGGAATTGCAATTTCTTAGGGGTTCTAGGGATTAAAGGTCTGTGAGAGGGAAGCCACAATGGCACGAATCATTTTGGGGGAAGTCATGTGCTTTAAAGCGCCTTGGATGCTCTTTAAAACATAGTATCATAGACTTGTAGAGTTGGAAGGGACCCCGCGGGTCATCTAGTCCAACCCCCTGCAATGAAGGAATCTCAACTAGATGATCCGTGGCTGATGGCCATCCAAGCGCTGCTTAAAAACCTCCAAGGAAGGAGAGTCATTACTTCAGGCCCTAAGGGCCTCTGGAGCAGGAGAAAACAAGTTTGCTTCATCCTCCATGTGACAGCCCTTTAGACTTTAGTTATTAAAAGGGCTGCATGGTGTGGATCAGTGTTATGAGAGTGTAAGCAACACATTTCTCTCTCCTCTTTCTCCATACCATGCAGCATTGCAATGGTAACCAGAAGGCTGGAGTTTGGAGGCTATGGGCAGGATCCTTGCATTGCAGGGGGGTTTGACTAGATGACCCTTGGGATCCCTTCCAACTCTGCCATGCTGTGATTATATCAAGCACCTAAACTGCTAAAGGAACAAAAGGATGCTTCTGAAACATTTGGGAATCATAGGAACACTCTCCCCACCAATGGCTTCCAGCAAGAGCTTGCATCTTCCTTAGGAGAAAGGCAGTCCAGAACAAGCGAGGAAAGGCTCAGAGTTCAGGTAGGTGGAAATGCCAATTGAGTGTCCTATACCATATGAATGCTTCCTGTGTCGTCCACCCTCATGTGCCAGACTGGTGCTAGCATGGCTGGGAGCCAGGCGCCTGCTGATTCCTCCATTTTCTTTGCAGGGAGGGAGCCTTTCCCCAACATATACTTTGTTCTGGCCAAATCCCTGGAGAGACGGGATGACCCTCAGGTACTGGGGCAAAGGGAAGGAAGGGGTCCTAGTGAAACACTTTTGGGGAGTCTGTGGCTTCCAGCAAGTGCTTTTCAAAAGCATTGCTCCCTAAAACAGGGGAGGCTGAGCATAGCCATCACAGCTTTGATAGGCCTCTCTTCCATGCAATTGTCTAGCCCTCTTTGAAAGCCATCCCACCCAAGATGCCCTTGTGGTGTATCTGATTCTCCTATACTTCCTTGTTCCTGCAAGGAGATGACTCTTGTGAGATCCTTTGGTTAACATCTATCTGGGCTGGAAAATATTAAAGAATCAGGACTAGTGAGCTTCCCTTGAAGCACAACTGAGCAGAGGCAGGCAGATCTGTTAGCATCTTGAGAAAGATGCTCATACAACAAAGGATGCTATCATACCCCGCAAGCGTCTCAGAAAAAGCTCCCAAGCTGATGGAGAAGAGAGCCGTTAGTGGTCGGGGGCTGCCGTTTCTGAATCCCACCACAGCCCTTCCATGTTGCCAAAGAAATCAATGTCACAACAGTTTTTTCCTCGCACCTCCTCCCCATGATCCCATGTGGGGCTTCCTCAGACATATGCTGTGTCTGAACCAGCAGATCTCACCAAACCAAGTAATCGAGGACCCAGTCAGAAAAGGAGTGTGCGCAGTCATACTAGAAATAAGCAAAATAACTAAACAGGTACTGGAAGTCACCCCAGAACTGGCCCTACCAAACATCTTCCAAGATAACAATGCCCACACTAGAAAGAGCTCATAACCCACTGACAGCATACGATTCAATATGGCTAACTGACAACCCCCCTCACCCACGCACAAACAAATCCCACTGCGGCCAGCCAAAGATGATCAACCACACCCTAGACCACCCCAACCTCTCTCACCACCAAGGAAACATAACAAGCGAATAGAAAGAGAACTTCTCCAAGTGACGCTGACAGAAAAACCCCAAGCATACACGAAATAAAAGAACTTAAGCTTTGCCTCTCTCCTATTCCCCGCCCCCTTGAGATCTATGGGTGAAGGGCAGTATACAGATTTAATAAAGTAATAATAAAGTTTTTAAAAAACAAAAAAGCAAACCTTGGAGTTCCCATAGCACACTGATACCTCCCTCTTTCTTAGTGGTTCAGGTTTTTGTTTTGTTTTTTACAATATTCTCTGTGCTCTCCAGCTGAGTTTACTATTAGGTAAAGGTAAAGGTACTCCTGCCCATACGGTCCAGTCTTGACAGACTCTAGGGTTGTGCGCTCATCTCACTCTAGAGGCCGGGAGCCA